ATGATGTACAAATACGCTTTACACAATTGATGTGTGTATGGATTGGGATAACAGTTGTATGAGCCCCTAATAAAATGTTTAAAAAAAAAAGAAAAGAAAAGAAAATAAGGCCCCCAAAGCTACCATAACTTTGGACTCTGGACCCTAGTGGCAGGCACAGCTCACTGTTGGCAGCAGCGCAGCCAGAGCAGACAGGAAGTATAAGGTCTCTTTTAATAAAACAAATAACAATAAATGTGTACCGTATTCTTCTTCATGGAAAAATAAGACATCCTTGGAAATAAGACCTAGTGCATCTTTGGGAGCAAAAATTAATAAGACACTCCCTTATTTTGGTGGGAACAAGGTAGAAGGAAATTTTATGTTTCATCAGTGCTATACTGCACTCTATCTCTTCCTTGTGACCCTTCTGTAATGGGATGTCCAACTGTCTACAGATGGGCTTTGGGTCTCTACTCCATGCTCCGTCTCATCCACACTAAAGTGAGTTTTTGTTCTGGAAAAGACCAGGATCTTGACAGGGTCAGTATTTAACTGTGTCCAGCCATCACTCCATGCTCAGTATAGGCTGGTACCTGATGACCTAGCTCCCCTTGACGCTTAAGTTACCTATACCAGGTGCATGGGAAGTCCTGTGCAGCCCTGAGAGAAACATAAAAACATCATGTCTCAAGAGGCATCAGTTATGTCTACGCACCTGTGGACACAAGAAGAGATGGCACAGTGGGGTGGAATACATTCAGGTCTAGCTACAGAGGAGGTCTAGGAATAAGACAAAGCTGTAGATGTTCCTATGAAGGGGGTTTGGAGAATGAACTTCTGCTTCTTCAAATGAAAAATTTGACAGAAATAAAGGGGAAACAAAACAAGAGAAGACAGAAACTAGGAACGGCCTGGAGAGCAGTCTGACACAGATACTGAAAACTAGGGAAACGCAACAACTCCATATGGAGATCCCAAAGGCAAACACCAAGACACTAGGAGCAAATAACTTTTAATGGACAAAACAGAATGGAAACGCCGAATCAGCAATCTCAAAGACAAATAATAGACTCTATCAAAAGGAACAACTTACACTTAATAAATATCCCAGAACAGGGAAAACCAACCAACCAGCCTCCCATGGCAATGATGGACGCAACGCTGCCCCACCCCACAAACAACAAACTGGAGGAAGGGAGACAGCGGTTGGTGTACGATATGAAAATAATTATAATTTATCAAGGGGCCATGGGGGGGGGCAGGGAGGGGGATAAGAGAAGCTGA